ATGGGCAGGTGAAGTTGGCACCTCATTTTTTAGCACCGCAAGTTTTAACGATAGTTCTATTTGCATCCACAATAGTTCTACAGTTCCTGATAGGTTATATCAGAGCCGGGACCGCCGGGGGGACACCGTGATCGGCTGGGCGGCGGGACTGGGCCTTGTTCTTATGAATGAGGGCTCAGAGAGCACCTGCGTGCGGCCTTGGGGGGACGGAGGCTCGGTCATTGATTTGACCTGGGCGACCCCCTCGGCCGCGGGGCTCTTCCACGAGTGGAAGGTGGAGGCGGAGGGTGAAACACTGTCTGACCACAGACATATAGTGTGGACCCTCCGCCTCCCCAGAACCCAGCAGGTGCTCATCCGCCGCCCTGGGGAGAGGGAACCCCCTCTCCCCAAGAGATGGGCCCTCAACCGACTGGACGCGGACAGGTTTCGGGCGGCTGTCCTCGTGGCATCTTGGCACCTGGAAGAGGTGCCAGGGGGGCGGGACCCCGACCCCTGCAAGGGGGCCGAGGAAATAGTGGGCATCGTGACGTCGTGCTGCGACGTTGCGATGCCCCAGTCCCGCCCCCGATCCCGCCGGGCAGCATATTGGTGGAGTGAGGAGCTAGGACGGCTCCGACGCTCCGCCATCACAGCCAGGCGGCTGTTTGTGCGTGCCCGGCGGAATGGAGGGGATGCCACGGGCACAAAAAGGGAATACTTCCGAGTGAGGAAGACCCTGAAAGTCGCCATCGCCGAGGCGAAGCGAGCGTCCTGGGAGCAACTTGTGAGCTCCCTGGACGAGGATCCGTGGGGGCGCCCGTACAAAAGGGTGACCGGGAAGGTCCGCCCTTGGGCGCCCCCGCCGACAGAACAAATGGACCACCAGGCCCTCGATGAGCTCCTGGACGCCCTCTTTCCGAGGGCGGAAGGGGGCCCACCAGTGATCCCTCCCTCAGAAATGGGGGAGGGGAACTGGGACGAGGGCCTGGAGGTCAGTCCAGAAGAGCTCGCAGGGGCCAGGAAGAGGTTCGGGGCCAAGGGAAAAGCCCCTGGCCCCGACGGAATTCCTGGCCGCGCCTGGGCCCTCGCACTCGGCGAGGGAAACCTGTTCGCGGCCACGCGCAGGATTCTAAGCGGATGCCTCAGGGAGGGGGTATTCTCCCCAGAGTGGAGGAGGGCCAAGCTGGTCCTCCTCCCCAAGGAGGGCAAAGCACCCGGTAATGCGTCGGCCTATAGGCCGATATGCCTGCTGGACGAGGCGGGCAAGTTGCTGGAACGCATCATTGCCGACCGCCTCATCCGGCATCTGTCCTCGGAGGGGCCGAACCTCCACGACCGCCAGTTTGGGTTCAGGCCCGGGAGATCAACGCTGGACGCTGTCCAGTGTCTCCGGGGCCTGACCCGGGCGGTCGTGGAGAGGGACGGCGGGGTGTTGTTGGCGGTATCCCTGGATATCAGGAATGCCTTCAACACCCTGCCGTGGCCGGAGATCGGGCGAGCGCTAGTGCATCACGGTGTGCCCGCCTATCTCCGGCGCATCCTTTCGGCCTACTTCGGGGGCAGGGACCTCGCCTTCCCGATGGAGGGCGGGGTCCAGGACCGGCGCACCATGGAGCGCGGTGTTCCGCAGGGGTCCGTTCTGGGCCCCCTGCTATGGAACATCGCGTTCGACCGGGTGCTGAGAACTCCGCTCCCCCCGGGCTGCCACGTCGTCTGTTACGCAGATGACACTTTAGTGGTGGCCGGGGGGGAGAACTGGGGGGAAGCCCGCCTCCGCGCGGAGGCGGCACTGGCATCGGTGGTGGGCACCATTAAGGACCTCGGACTCTCGATGGCGCCCCAGAAGACCGAGGCCGTATATTTCTACGACCGAGGTCGAGGGGCGCCTCCGGAAACCGAGGTCCTCGTGGATGGCGTCCACGTCCGCGTCGGGCCGACGATTAAATATCTCGGCCTGACGTTGGACAGTCGTTGGAGTTTCGGGCCCCATTTCGGGAACCTGGCCCTCCGGGTGCGCAAAGCAGGTCTGGCGGTCGGCAGCCTCATGCGCGCCCAGGGGGGCCCGGGTTGGATGGCACGCCGCCTGTACGTCACGGCCGTGCTCTCGATCGCCCTTTACGGGGCGCCCATATGGGCGCCGAGCCTCTTGGTCTGCCGGAGGGGAAAACGCTCCCTCCGGCAGGCCTTGAGGCCCGTATTGATAAGGGCGATTCGGGGGTATCGGACCGTGTCGTACATGGCGGCGACCACCCTGGCCGGCGTCCCTCCCGTGGAGCTCCTTGCCGATGAGAGAAGTACTCTCTATTGGAAGGTGAGGGAGCTCCGCGCGGAGGGGACGCTAAGGGCCAGGGATCTAAGAGGCCTGAAGCTCCAGGCCAGGAACCGGACCCTTCGGAAATGGGAGAACGCTTTGTCCGACCCGAAGGTGTCCGGTCCCAAGACGGCAGCGGCTGTCCGCCCCTGCCTGTCCGAGGTGACAGGCAGGAGGGGACGTGGAATGTCATTCCACCTGGTGCAGATGCTGACCGGGCACGGATGCTTCGGTCGGTATCTGCACCAGATAAGGAAGGAGCCCACCACCCGGTGCCACCACTGCCCCATTCTCGAGGACACGGCGCATCATACCTTGTCCACATGCTCGGCATGGGACGAGGAGCGCCGTGTCCTCGAGGGGGCGGTGGAGTGCCGAAGGGGGGACCTCTCGCTCCCGCGCATGGTCAAGGCCATGTGCGGGAGCGAGGAAGTGTGGAACGCAGCGGCCTCCTTCTGTCGGGAAGTTATCTCGCAGAAGGAGGCCGCGGAGTGGGGACGTCGACCGGGAGTGCGTCGCAAGAGGCGGCGCACCGGTCGACGATCCCCGGGAGGAGGAATCGGAAGCGGACCCGAGGTGGCGTCGGCCAAGGAGGACTCACCTGTCGACAGCGACGGGTCGGGGACTCCTCGGCCGCCTCGGGCCCGCCACCATCCGCGCGGGGGGGACTGGGCTATCTAGATCCCCCCGCGCGGTCGGATAGGTAGGGCAAAGGGGGGGCGGTGTCCCGGTTTGGGACGGGCCCGCTCCCCCAAAGCTCTCCCCCCTTGACTAACAAGGGGGGCTAAAGGAGGAGGGGTGGGTGTCCTCTTCCTCCTAATAGGTGTGATCAGAAGGCCAACCGGTGGGGCAACCCACCGGGACCGCACCCTGGACTCCCTTAGTGGGACAGGGCGCGGTACGTTGATGGCGAGGGGCTCCCGGAGAGTCCTGGGGCCGGAGGGTTGGGGAGGGAATACGGGAGTAGTTACCCTGACTCCCCTCCTCACGGTCCGACAGGTAGACATCCCGCAGGGGTTTTAGTCGGTAAGAATCCGACATAACCCCCTCCCCCCCAAAGGGGAGGGGGTATCTATGATGGATTTCCCCTGCGTCACCAAAAAAAAAAAAAAAAAAGGTTATATCAGAGCTCGGCAAAGTTTACAACTTTCGGCCGATTCTCGGGAGCTATGCCTTCTATCTCCCTTTACCGCGCGGCGGATCCAACAACTGACGGTCGCGGCTCGCGACCTCAGGACCGTTGAGATCATAAAGAGCATCTATGTGGTGCCTACTAAAGATGCGTTCGGGGAGCGCGTCGATCAGCGCTAACGCGTCATTCAATCCCTGTACATGTAATGAGCGATAAAGATAGAATAACGTATTAACGTTGACAGTGCGCTCCTTTAACGCACCTCAAAGGCTGAAAAATAAATCTATCGATACAACTATATGTATAATATTTCGTACAAACTTGTACATATACTTGTATAAGCATATATATATATTTTCTTATATTTTTATAATTAGAAGGTAACATAATAGGTTTCCTCGTCACCCACGAGGTACTACTATTGCCGACGCGTTTTTTTTTCCCTATTTTTAAATAATTTTTGAAACTTAGCGCCGGTACCGCATCACAAGAGTAAAGTATCAATTTGCTGGCAGACTAAACTAAATGAGACAAAGAAGTCGGCTGGAACTAGCAGCAAACTGATACTTTACTTTTGTGGTGTGGTGCTAGCGCTAAGTTTCAAAAATTATTTAAAAATAGTTAAATGCCAGCACCCACGACGAATCTCATCTAAAGCGTTGAAACTATTGTAGAACTACCAAAAGAAACCCAGAAGTCGGCTGGAACTGCCAGCAAACTGATACGTTACTCTTGTGGTGTGGTGCTGGCGCTATGTTTCAAAAATTATTTAAAAATAGGTAAACGCCAACATCGCCGACGAAACCTACCTAAAGCGTTGGAATTATTGTAGAATTACTAAAAGAAACCAAGTAGTCGACTAGTACTGTCAGCAAACTCATACTTTACTTTTGTGGTGCGGTGCTGGCCTTAAGCTTCAAAAATTATTTAAAAATAGTTAAATGCCGGCACTCGCGACGAAACCTACCTAAAGCGTTGGAACTATTGTAGAACTACTAAAAGAAACCAATAAGTCGACTGGTACTGCCAGCAAACTCATATTTTACTCTTGTGGCACGGTGCTGGCCCTAAGTTTCAAAAATTATTTAAAAATAGTTAAAGGCCGGCACCCGCGACGAAACCCACCTAAAGCGTTAGAACTATTGTAGAACTACTAAAAGAAACCCAGAAGTCGGCTGGAACTGCCAGCAAACTGATACTTTATTCCTTGTGGTGCGGTGCTGGTGCTAAGTTTCAAAAATTATTTAAAATTGGTTAGAAGCCAGAACTTTTGCTAAAACATATCAGGAACTATAGAACTCTTCTAGGACTATAAGATTTCGTGCTTGAAATGGCATTTTTTGGAAATTGCGGTGCGACGGGAAGTTAGCACCTCATATCTTCAATCTGCCATTTTGTTAACTAATTCGGCGGTACTATTGACATAACCTATCAGGAACTGTAGAACTATTGTGGGTGCAAATAGTACTATCGTTAAAACTTACTGTGCTAAAAAATGAGGTGCCAACTTCACACCGGCGTATTACGGTGTTTAAGCAGTTTTAGCCCTTATCTCAAGAAGTCGACTCGGACAATATGGCGCAAGCAGATTCTGACATGGTGAACGACGACCTGAGTGAAGTGCTGGCGAACATGACACTCGTACATTTGAAGCAGAAATTGAAGCAGCGAAGATTAAAGACATCTAGATCAAAAAACGAACTGATTTCACGATTCGTACGTGCTATGCGGATCGAGCGCGGCATGGTAGGATCGAGCGAGAGGAGTAAAGACAGTGGCTCACATGATGACGAAAGCGACGACGAAGAAGACGAAAACGAAGGCGACGCAACGATTATTGAAAGAGAAGGAGGCGAGATTTCTAACGATAACATTCAGACGACAGCTGTTAGAAAGGGACAGCGCAGAAATGACAGTAAAAAAGTTACAGTCGGTATAAAAGAACGAAATATGACAAAGGAGAATTGAAATCAGATACTAACGTTTCGGGACATTGAAGAATCGCTAGAGATTTTTACAGGAGACGACAATATTAACGTAATGAAATGGTTACAAGATTTCGAAGAGATGGCCATACTGTATGAGTGGTCAGAAGATAGTCTACGCCAAATGTCTTTTGTGTGGTTCTGCGAGGTTGTTTGTTAATTATGAAAAGGACACGAAGACTTGGAAGAAATTACGGCGTGCGTTAATTGATGAGTTTGCTGAGATAATGGATAGTCACGCGGTACACCAGAAGTTGTCACGACGAAAAAAATCATCAGACGAATCGTTCCAAGTGTACATCTATAAGATGTTTGACATCGCAGTGCAGGCGAACGTCGACACCCGTTCTGTGATACAATATATTATCGAGGGTATCCAAGACGACGCTGTTAATAAAACCATATTGCATGAGGCAAAGACGTGAACTGAAAGAGAGGTTCATCGAATACGAAGCCATTAAAAGAGAAGCTAAGTTGAAGCAGAATCGCAATGTGAGGAAACACGACGAGAAGGAGAGGACCGTTCGAGCGGACGCAACAAGCTCTGCAGAAGTGAAGCGATGCTTCAACTGCAGCGGTAAGGACCATCTGGATAAGGCATGCCCCACGAAGGACAAAGGTGCTAAAGGCTTCAAATGCAACTATTACGGACACATTGCTAAGTTGTGCGCAATAACAAATGTATCGAAAGAAGCTGCGTATGTAGCTTCTGAGAATCCGTGTAAAAAACAATTAAAACAAATAGGGATTGCGAATCAATATTTTGTCAGCGTGATAGATACCGGCAGTGACCTGAGTTTAATAAATCGAAATTGTTATGAAAAGATAGGTTGTCCGCGTTTGAAAAACCAAGTATATTTCGACGGTATAGGCGCATTGAACAATAAGACACATGGTTCGTTTATGTTCAAATGGTTCAAATATCAAAATCGATAATGAAGTATGAAATCGTGTTCCATGTTGTTAATAATAATATAATAATAATAATAATATAATGAAACAAACGGTTTTGACTGGCGCCAATTTTCTGAACTTGGTAGAGTTGCACTCGGTGAGGGGCCATGTCACAATTCGAAAAGTTGCTCAGGATTTAACAAATAATTTGGATCTACCTGAGATATTAAGAATCGACGTGATAGACGAAGTAAATTCATTCGACTTTTCACACATTTCTGAGAAAGATGCCCGATTGGAGATAGAAAACATTGCCAGAAATTATGAACCTCAAAACGCGAGAGGTCGGTGTTAAGATGACTCTAGTTTTAAACAATGATATCCCAATCTATCAAAAATCACGTAGATTATCCCAGCCGAAAAGGAGGAAGTTGACAAACAATTAAACACTTGGCTAGATGATGGCATTATAAGACCGTCAAGTTCAGACTATCCAAGTCAGACTATGCCTGTCGTTTTAATAAAGAAAAAGAATGGCGATGTTAGAATCTATATAGATTATCGTAAGTTAAATAAGAAAATTATAAAAGACATACCCGCTACTGTTAATTGAAGACCAGTTAGACAGTTTACAAGGCTCAACAATGTTCAGTGTATTAGATTTGAAAAATGGATTCTTTCACGTTGAAGTAGCCGAAGATAGTAGAAAATGTACTTCTTTTGTGGTGCCGACAGGCCAGTATGAGTTCACGCGAATGCCATTCGGTCTTTGCAATGTCCTTGCGATGTTTCAAAAATTCATAAATGCCGTATTTCGAGATCTAGTTTCTAAGGGAATAATGTTAATTTATGATGTTAATTTATGGATGATCTCATCGTTCTGGCATACGATACTAAATAGGCAATTGGCAAACCTAAAATCCGTGATCAAAGTTTCGAGTCAGGCAGGTTTACACATAAACTAGCGTAAATGTCAATTTTTACAGTCGAAAATCGAATACCTTGGTCACATTACAGAAAACGGTACGATAAAACCTTCTAATAAGTCTAAAACAAAGCCGTTCTGAGTCTTCCAACTCCCAAATGCGTGAAAGATGTACAAAGTTTCCTTGGACTCACCGGTTAGTTCCGAAAATTTATTTTTGGTTTTATTCCACAATAGCGCGGTCGTTAACAAACCTTCTAAAAACCAATACCAAGTTTAAGTTCTAAAAGGACAAAGAGCTTCCCAAAGCCTGAAATACGCGCTAAGTAATAAACCTGTTCTGAGACTGTATAAAGTGGAAGCCGAGACAGAACTGCATACCGACGCATCTAAATATGGTTTTGGCGCAATTTTAATGTAAACAGATAATTCGGATAACATGTTTTACCCTATCTATTACGCAAGCGGGAAAACTTCTCAGATGGAGGAAAAATATACCAGTTACGAGTTGGAAGTACTTACGATTATTAAAACCCTAGATAAATTTAGAGTGTATTTGCTGGACATTCCTTTTAAAATCATTACAGATTGTAAAGTGTTTACGCAGACAATGAACAAAAAAAGTCTATGTGCATATGTAGCTCGATGGGCTCTTGCGTTAGAAGAATACAATTATGAGATCCAGCATAGACCAGGAAAAACCGTAAGTCACGTAGACCCTCTAAGCCAAAACCCTCTCCCAGAGACTTTGCTCATTAATGAAAGTGACGATAATCTTATTGCTAAATTTATGAAAACTCAAAGCGACGATAAAGACCTGCAAGAAATTATTAAGCTAGTATTACTTGGTAAGACCGAAAATTATGTAGTGCGTAATCAGCTGTTATACCAAGACAAAAACGACGAATTATTGTTAGTTGTACCAAAATTATTGCAGTCGTCGATACAAATCCGTCAGGCACACGGGCAAGGTCATTTTAGTGCTAGTAAAACGGAATCAATCATACGAAAAGATTACTGGTTCAAAGGCATGCGACCGAAAGTTGAGAGGATAATTGCTAGCTGTATCAATTGTATCCTTGCCGAGCGAAAGCAAGGCAAAAAGGAAGGTTTCCTTAACGTGATCCATAAAGGAGATTTACCACTCGATACGTACCACGTAGATCATGTAGGACCAATGCCCAGTACACGAAAAAACTATCGTCACGTTTTCGTTGTAATAGACGCATTCAGCAAATTTGTGTGGCTTTATGCTACAAAGTCGACCGATACTAAAGAAGTACTCGAACGTTTGCGCAAACAATCAGTTGTATTCGGAAATCCGCCGAGAATCATATCGGACCGTGAAACAGCTTTTACCGCTAGCGCGTTCAAGGAATATTGTGACGATGAGCGTATAGAGCATCTTCTTATAACTACAGGAGTCCCAAGAAGCAATGGACAAGTCGAATGTGTAAATCGAATGCTTATACCTCTACTACGAAGTTGTCAGCTCCGAAACATGAGGAGTGGTTCAAATATTTGGATTCCGCTCAAAAATTCTTAAACGCTACACTTAGTCAAAGTACAGGTTATTGTTAGTTGTACAAAAATTATTGCAGTCGTCGATACAAATCCGTCAGGCACACGGGCAAGGTCATTTTAGTGCTAGTAAAACGGAATCAATCATACGAAAAGATTACTGGTTCAAAGGCATGCGACCGAAAGTTGAGAGAACACCGTTTCAACTATTATTCGATACAAATATGCGTATAAAAGAAACCCTGCATGTGTATGAGTTGATAAAAAACGAATGGGAACGTATATTCGAGGAAGACCGCGATAGTATGTGAAAAAAAGCCAAAGATAAAATTCGCGAGGTCCAAGAAGAAAATATACGAAATTATAATAGAAAGCGGAAAAAGGCTACAGTTTATAGAAGTGGCGATTTAGTTGCGATTAACCCTCCATTGCCCTCGTTTAAAAAAACGAATTTTAGTTTTCTCGTATTAAAAAAATTGTATTAACATAATTCAGAAAATAACTATACAGATATAATCTAAATGGTTATAAGTAAAAAGTCAGAAAGTTTCAGAGTCAACTTTTATGCCACATCTAAGTAATTAAAAAAAAATAAATATAAACTGAGCGTTTGCCTCATACGAGGGCAATGGAGGGTTAAACGTACCCAGCAGAGTCTCGGCCTTAAGTTTCGGAATAAGTTTTTAGGCCCATACCGTGTAATTAAAGCAGGGTTGTGAAGTAACTCGTTACTTATAACGAAGTTACAGTTACAGTTATCTTTTTTTAGTAACTATAACTTAACTGCGTTCCATTTTTCCATCTGTAACTGTAACTTAACTTACAAGGGACATTCGGCAACGCGGAAATTCAAAAAAATCTGAAACTCTGCATAATTGTAGAGCAGATATACCTAATAACAAAACAATTTTTCGTTGGTGCCCAAAAACGGTTTTAAGGGTGGAAACAACCCCTTGAACAAAGTTGATTTTTGTCTTTCTAAGCGAATATTATCGAAACTATTAAAGATATGAAAAAATGTTTTAGGCAAAAGTTTTATGGTTTTAAAAGTACTTTATTATGCTATATTTAGATTTTTTAAAAATGTAAAATTGTGTATAAAATACCCCCCCTCCTTCTCTTTTTTCAAATTGTTAAAATCAATTGTCCAACCAAAATAAAGCTTATTTTATGACAAATTCAACCATATATAATAACATTATGTTTGGAAAAGGCAATATTGAAAAAAAAATTAAACATGCTCTCATATGTATGCTACGCGTACCAAACTTAAGGATTCGCTACTTGACGATGGCATTTCTTTCTTCCTCAAATCTTCCTCATAATTGCAAACTGTAAAAGATAAGGAAGGAAGAAAATAGAAAATCTAAAAAAGCAATAAAGTTGATGTTAAGAAGTAAGTAGGAGAAAAATAGCATGATAAGGATACAGTCACTAATATTTAAAAATGTTATAAATTATAAAATTTCACGTAATAGACGTTTATTTTGCCAACATTGCGGCTACCTTTTTCATTAATTTAAACGACACGCGTAAATATAAATAAATATGTGTGTGTGTGTATGTGTGTTTTTGTACGTGCGCACGTGTGTGTACATCATGGCAACATGCAAAACACTTGTCACAAGTTTTATGACTGTGCG